TACTGCAATTTTCTTCATTTTCGCTTGTGACAACGTGTGTACACATAAGATAAAGAATAATTTAACACAACGGCATGATTTTTAGAAGAATTTGCATAATAAAAATGATTTTTCATGCGTTCAACAATTTCGCGGTTTTCTCCGTTCTCTTCGTTGTTTACTTCTTACAACAAAGATGGCGTCGAGATTTCGGCAGCTAGAAAATAACTTTTTTCGTTCTTTCCTTCCCGCGTGATCTTGTGTCTTTCGTTCATGAGTCTGAATACCCTTGTTTTTTCTTCGGTAAATGTTAAAATTTACGTTATGGTGCAATGCGTGCTTTTCCCGCCAATTCCGGTGAGAAGTCAAAAATAAATAAAAGTTGTGAAGTGCCATAAATGAAACAATTGGATAGCAAATGTACACAAAAAAAAAATTAATAAAGGATAAAAACTTAAAAACAAAAAATAACTTAAAACAGCTATCCCTTAACCCGCTTATCCCTAAAACATTTCATTTTTTGGAATGGGATTTACGAATGGAACTTCTATATACTTCACTAAGAAACGCGTTCGAAGATTTATTAAAAAAAAATATATGGCATTGTATAAAAATCCGACCCCTGCTCATAAGTAACACCCCCTATGAACTGTTTCAAGGACTCATGTATTTACCAAAAAAATTTACCAGCAGTCTAGTTAAGAATTACATATTTAATGTTCAAATGGCGTTATATCTGTATAACCTAATTTTTAGCATTATCATGCGATTTTACAAATGCACAAACCACCATCTAATTCTCTAATTTCTCAAATATATTTACTCTCCACGCAGATTCACATTGATTAAAGAACATTTAATCGAATTCAATCAATTGGCCATGGCCAATGCTGAAGGTTCGGATAACATGTTGAATCGTGTAATGCCGAAGGACAATATCGGTTTGGCAGCGCTTCTGAAAGTGAAGGAGAATGCCTGGGATCCGATGACCGAAGTGACACAAATCTCCCAACCGCTACTCGTTTGCACAGCGCACATTCACTGGGATCCCGAATTCTGCGATGTGAAACTAATCCAGACGATGATGTTGAGCAACGAGCTTAAGACAATCATCGACGAGGCAAGTCACAGCTTTAGACCCGGTCACAAAAATGACGCGAATAGCGTACAACTGCTGCTGTGCGGAGATTTCAATTCGTTGCCCGATTCTGGTGTAATCGAATTCCTTGGCAAGGGACGTGTAGCAATGGATCACCAGGACTTCAAGGACATGGGTTATAAATTATGCCTGCAACGCCTACTATCGAATGACACCAGCGAGTTTACGCATTCCTTTAAGTTGGCCTCCGCCTACAGCGAGGACATAATGCCACACACAAACTACACGTTCGACTTTAAAGGCATCATCGATTATATATTTTATACGAAAACTGGCATGGTGCCGCTCGGTTTGTTAGGTCCCATCTCGAATGATTGGTTGCGCGATAATAAAGTCGTTGGCTGTCCGCATCCGCATATACCATCGGATCATTTCCCGCTGCTGGTCGAACTGGAACTGATGCATACGGCGGGACAACAAGCGCCGCCCAATGGCCTGATCAACCGACGGTAGCAATAAAAAAGTATGTAGCCAAACAATAGATCAACAACAACAACAACAGCATAGAGTGCTGACCATGCGACGGCAACATCTACATACACCAACAACATCAATTATCAATTGTAGGGTAGTTATAGACAGCGTAGGTACTGCTAGCCGCCGCGTAAGGACCACAAAAAACATGATAAAATAAACAATAAAACATAAAAAACAGTAAAACTCACAACACCCAAACAAATCGACAAACATACGTTAGAGAAATAATGCATATGTAGTTCATACTAAATAATAGACATGCGCACACTCCCATAAAAATGCATACATATGTACATAGGCATATGCACCATGTCATAATAAAAGGAAAAAAAAACTACCAACACTATCATAAAGATCAACACAACAACAACAACTGCTGCAAAAGATATAGGAAAATGCCGACATCAACAAGGATATCAACATCATAATGAACGGAGTAGAAAAAATAACAAAAACACAAAGAAACAAACAACAATAATATTTGCATACATTTTAAGTTTGTAAAGCTAGTAAATATATGTATATGTAGTTCTGTAACTTTTATACATTTATTCGCCTCTTATCATCCAAAAGTAAGCCTAACTTTTTCCCTTCCAATAACCACCGACTACTCTATTTCCCATAAATCATCCTACATTTCCTCAATACTCATTGCTAAATAAGCAAATTCGCAAACTCATTATATGTATGCATGTTTGAGCTATAGTCGCCGGCTTAAAACGATTTACTTTATAATATAACTCGACAATAAGTAAGAAATCAATTTAGTTTGCCTAATAAATTTCAATTTGTCTATTGATCTTTTTTACTCAACTTAAAGTAACATACAAATTAGCGTTCTCATAAGAGTATTATCTATGTATATATTAAGCTGCAAAAGTTCATTTTATAACAATTGTTAAAATATTTATATAAAAATTGTTTATTTTATAGAAAACTTACGGTAAAGTTATTCAGCATTTTTTTTTTAATTTGCTTCTTATTCCTTTTTTAAATTTAACTGCAATGAATTCTTAATTATGCACATTTATACTTTTTCCTGGTACAGGGTAATCATTGCACCTTTTTGAAAGAGGGTATCGGTGCTGACAAAGCCGCTGAATGAACATATAGTTTAGCACGACTGAGTTTTCTATTATTTGCATTCAAAAGGTAAGAGATCCTAGCGAGCGTTTGCCCCACGAGAACAGTATGTTTACAAGCTAAATCTTTGTTGTCTGATGAAAGGTTTTTCTTTTAAAAGGGTAAGTAGCTCGTATCTACATACAATTCGACCCGCCGCATATGTTCTATTTTGGAAAAAGTGACAAAACCGAATATCACGAGAACGAAAGAAGATATCAAGTATCGGTATTTTAAACTTTTTGAGATTAAGAATCCAGGAAAAATAGTCTCGTTGTATAAAAAAATTATCCTGACCTTTAAATTGACCTTCAAAAATTAGTTTTGAATTTTTTTTTCTTAAAATCAGAATAAAATAAGCATTTAATTTTTTTATAAAGTTCATTGCACCCATTTTTAGGTAAAAAGACAAAAAAAATTGCTTTAGAAGGTGGGTTTGAGGTAAAGGTAATTTTTCATTCAATCGGAGCCTAAAATGACCGACCTTCACAAGCATTTTTTTTTTTGTCTTTTTTTACCCTATTTTTTTTTACCCAAGAACAGCTTCCTTCACGCAAGAAAAGCAAAAATATGTGATTAAAACCTGCAAAAATTTCATTGCACTCTGGTCTGTGGTCAAAAAAAAAAGAAAAATATATAAAAACCTTCTATTTTTTAATGTAATCTTAAAGGTAAAGGTAGTTCTTCTATCATACGAGACCATTTTTCCTGCATTATCCATCTCAAAATCTTGTATGAAAATAACGTTACATTTATTTCGCTATCACTGGTTGTTCTCGAACTATTTGATTTTGTCCTTTTTTCCAAAAAAGAATACAGTGCGCCGCCGCCACACCTCAACCCATATTTTTTAGATATTCGTACATTTTTTTGTGAGTAACAATATAAAGGTTATTTTAAAAATATTTATCAAAAAGAATTACTGGTTGATTTGCAAAAACAAAAGTTCCCTTGCCAAATCCAAAAACTTAAAAATCAAAACTATAATTAAAAAACGAAAGTGTTAATGGTTGTGTATATATAGTATATTCGTATATACATACAAAGTATGCAACATTGTGTAACCATAAAAATTAACTTTTCACGCGAACTAGGCCAGTTGGTAGCTTTGGTCAAATGATTCACAAAAATATGTTTACAATTTTTCTAGCACCCTCAACTTATTCATTAAAACGACTTTGTTTATCACTTGGTGGATTCAACAACTTTTATCTCAGATATATTTTAAGCAATTTTGAGTTCTAATATGGATTCAGCGAGATTAATAAATATTTTTTCATAATTATTTTCTGAGTTTTTTTTTTTAATTTCCAAGCGAGTTTCCACAATTTTTCAGAGATATATACAGAATCATATTTTATTTTAAGCGCATAAATATTCACAAAATATGTATTAAAGTGCTGCTAGCAAAAAGCCCTAGGCTAATTTATCAGAAATACCTATTCGTTTAAGTCATTATTTCAAGACTATTTTATTCTTAATAAAACTATGTATCACATTTTAAAATCTATGAAAGATTTAGTAACTTATGATAATTACAAAATAGAGACAAGCTAAATTTTTATTAATCTTAGCCAAATTATGTACATTCAGCTAGAAATCATATTTCTAATTACATGATCGAAATCGATTATTTTTTATCTGACAGATAGATGGTTAAGGGACATCTTCCTAAATTAATTTCTCTTTCGGCTATGTGGCACTACTCGCAATGTTCATACGGTTTTCTTAATTTTGTTTACACCGTGTAATTTATTTATGTAGTATTATCTTTGGAAAAAAGTTAAATACTTTCAAAACTGATGGTTGGGGAGGAATTGGCAGGGGTCGAAGGTTACTTACGAAATGTTTAGCTTTTTATCGGAAATATGAAACTTTCCTCAAACATCAAAGCTATAGCTTTTATTTATACTTAACAATTAGTCTTTGAGCAAAAAAGATAAACTCAGACGTACTGGAAGAAGACTTTGTTCAGCAGAAATAGTCAGCACTGTATTCATTACACAGCAATCACTGAATACGAATTTCTACGAAGGTATAATTCAAAACGCTCGAAGCATTTTCACGAAAAATCAGACTCTCAGAAATTATATAATTAATTCATAATTCATTTCGTTTATTGATTTTTTTTTATAAAGTTAAAGGGATATTTTCTATATCCCTTTATATATATATTTTCTTAATCCCTCGCAAATTAATTACTTTTAATAGGCGTATTAAATTTTCTTCTAACTTACTATTTCGAGTTATATGTATGTATATATTGTAGGGCCATGTCTTTTATCGAATTTTCTTCTTGCTATCTTTTTGCGTCGTTTAGAGATGCCTGACTACGCATGACAGACGGTTTTCATTTCCTTCGCCCCTCCATTATTACTCTGTCCTTTCACCATACGCTTTTTCTTCAGGAATCGTTTAATGAACCAATATATTGTACATGCATACATATATACACTTATTTGCGTGATTAAATGAATAGCGAAAAATTAGTATACAAATTATTAGTTTCTTATTGCATTGATTCAATTCATTAATTTAGATATAGAAATTTTTTGAGGGAATTTCAGCTTCCCACACGTCTAATACTAACTTAGCCCCCTCCTGTGTCTACATTACGCTTATAATTTCAAAAACTTGACTTACGATCCTCATCGTTTAGATAAAAAAAAACAAACATATTTTTAACAGAGCCTAATTTTAAGCTTGCAATAGAAAGGTCTAAGTTTTCGTACTTTAAATTTACTCTCGCATTTTTTATAAATATGTATGTATGCAAAACTGCTTTATTTTATAGTTAGAAATTACCGTATATCCTTACTTTTTAATATACATTAATATAAGAGTAAAGGTCATCGTCCGCTACCCCTCAGCATTATCCCTGTGACACAGAGGCACTCAAACTATTCATAAAAAGTACTTGGTGAAACGGGCGCTTCAACATTTTTCACTCCGCAAATCCTCACACTTCCAACGCTTCGCTCGCTCCTTTAAATTGTTGTATGCTAAAAGTAGAATGCTATATTTTTCGTTGTTCTTTGTGAATAAAAAATAATTAAGTAATATTATTTCCAAATTTAAAATTAAATATATTAATTGTATTACAAGCGATAGCATAAACACCACACTCCACAAACATACTCACACACACACCACACAAACTAACTCATACGTATGTAAATGCAAATGGTAAATAAAAAATATTTTAATGATAAATAAAAAACGCAAACGTTTATAAACAATCAAAACGCATTTTTGCATTTGAGACTAAATATTTACGAACTAATTATTACACAGCAACAACACCAATAATTTAATATATCATAAAGCAGTTAAATGTAGATGCTTTGGGATATACATACATACATACATAATTCACGTTTCATTTTTTTTTTTTAAGTAAATGCAAAATACACGTAGACCAACAAATTCAAAAGCAAATGCTAAAACTGTTATAAAAAACGAACGAAACAATAGAAATTTATTTAAAATATCTAAAAAATAGCCTCTAAATAAATGAAATAAAATTCATAAAGTGTTGCCGAAAAGTATGCATGCATATATACTGTATTTTTATATAGACAAGCTTAAAAAAAAATTAATGAGCATGAAAGAAAAAAAGAAACAGCATAACAAAAATCAAATAAAGGCTAAAAAGTATGTAATAATATGCATTCTAGAAAAATTAATTCAACAAATGCGTATAATAAAAATATGTACATTTATGTATGTAAACTTGATCCCCTTTTACCATGGAATTTTTTTACATCTCACAAGATTTTACACGCTTTCAGCTTTTTTACGTTGTTATTTTTTGTATTGAATTCCTAATTAATATGAGTATCCTCTAAAAGTATGCAATTTTTATATTACATATTCT